TAAAAATGAAAAAGTCTGGTACAGGAGACAAGTATATATATAATTACAATGCAGTGTGATAAATCCATTATGTAAGTATGTATAGGATACAGAAGAGGGACTTTAAACTTGAGAATTCAATAGAGATAATAAATGGGTAGGAGAGAAATAGAAAACTTTGGTGCCATAAAAGCAAAGTATGTATGGTATTGCCAATAATGGCTACCATCTATTGAGTGCTTTACTGTCTGTCAGGTACTATATTATATAATCTCCATTTTAACTGTACCTCATTTTGCAGATACTCAGGCACAAGGTGGTGGTTATTTGTCCAAACTGGAACCAAGATTCAAACCCAGACAGTCTTAAGCTCATTTTTAATCACTAACTAACTTGAGATGCCTAAATGCCAAATACTGCTGGGAGTTCAAGTGGTTCTTAATTAGCAAAATCTATTTTTATCAGTGCAAAAGAAACACCACAGCTCATATGTTAGAAAGTATTATGACTTCAATAAATGGAGTCTTAACTAATGAGATATTATTATTTTCTAGAATGGCGTGGCTGAGAGTATGTGTGCATTCAACTGAAAGGAATAATGTATAATCAGTGACTCTTACTATATACAGGAAAAGGTGCAGTTCTGTCTTTCAGATCTGCCTCCTTACCATATTGGCTTTCATCCCTCATGCTATTTTCTTGTGTTTGCTAGAAGTTGTTGACTAGCCAAGTGTCATGCCCATGTTGAAGGCAAGGAAGAAAAAATGGAAATGGCCTGTGCCAGCTATATATATTCCCCTTTTATGAGGGAAAGCAAAGCTTTCCCAGAAATTCCAAATGGATTCCCCCTTGACTTACTTGCCTGACCAGTTAAATGGCCACTGGTACCTGCAAAGAAAGCAGGGTACATAGCTGTCCCAAATAAAATCAGTATTAGCAAGAAGAAAGAATATTGAGAAAGCAACTAACAGTGTCTGTGACTGTTACATGTCTGTGACTGTTAACATTGTCAAGTCCTTTCCCCTTGAATATAGTTTTGGAAGAATTAGCTGAAGAAGTATGTTGATATTGAATGGCCAAGAGAATGGGCTGTAGCAGACATCTGTCATTTCTCTTTTGGCTGCCCAATATCCTAAATCCTGTGTTTAGGGAATCCCTCACCTAATAAGGCAGCGCATTCCTCCCTCCTAAAGAATTTGAAAGTACCAGGTAAATGTTTTATCAGCCTCCTTTGCAGCTAAGGAAGTAACATCTGCCTTCAACTTTAAAGTTAGTGATACAAAGAAGCAGGGAACCATGCAGATTCCTTTGAAGATGGTGACTAACAACACTACTGCATTCATCTCCACAGAGGAGCAGCAAAAGTGGTTTAATGATAACCTCTAATTCTATTTTTTTTTGGGG